CGGTGGCGGTGGTGGTGGACAATGGTGGCGGTGATGGTGGACGGTGGTGATGGTGGTGGACGGTGGTGGTGGTGAAGAGAAATAGACGAAAAAAATGGAGAAGATGTTAGAAGATGTTAGAAGACATAGGTTAATGTCTTCTCTAAGATGTCAGGAAGACCTTTTTGAGTGAAATGTCTTCCAAAAAACAAACAATCTGCAGAGCTCAGCATCTGCAGACAAAAGAGGCCAGAAGCTCTTCTGGCCAAAAAACAAACACCCCCTAAGTAGACTTATAAACAACAAAAGATCTTTGAACATTGAACCAATGGAATGGGAAAAGGATGAAAGGGAATGTGCATGGAGAGTGAGTGATAGAAGGTAAAAGGGGTATCCATAGACGAGGATAGCAAAACCTGAAAAAGTGTATGGACTATGGACATAAACTGGTAAGAATCATTGTACTAGAGACCAATTAATTAATTGAATCCGGATTAAGGAAAGAGAGCTGGATTTCAAAACTCTAAAGTGAATTTGAATGTAAACTCTCAAATTAGAACATACTCCCTTTGACCCACTATCTTTGCCTCTCTTACCATTTTTGACCGTCCAAGAATCTCTTTCCCATTACGTACTTAATCTAATTTTAACCCAACTTGACAATCTGATCAGGCACAAACAAAAAGTTTTAGAACAGAGATATTTAAATTTGACATTAGAAACTTCCAGACGAGATAAAAAAATTCAAGATAAGTTCATACCAGGTGAGAAAGATTAAAACAAAATCAGCCAGGCCTGAAAACTTAAGAGAAGATGATCATGTGTTTTATCAAGCTCAAGGAAAAGGTCATCAATATTCAACACTATAATGATACTCTAAATTCCTCACCTTCAAGGCCTTTGTGAGAAGAAAGTATTACCCCACATTCCTAACAGGGCATTTATAGGATGATTGTTCACAGATTCTTAGTCGATTATCAACCATAGACGAAGAATATATTGTTTCTAATGTTTGGTGTATATGATTTCGGTGACTGTTGCTACTACTTCATCAGTTCATGATATCCTTGGACCTTCAATTTTGAACATGATTGTTAACAGATTGAGACATATCTGCCATTGAAATCCAAAACCCCCAAAAAGAAAAGGGAAATATTCATGTAAATACTCTAAAAAAGTACTCCGTAGCAATTATACAAGAATACTCCTAGAAGACAATAATGATCCAAAACTTAGAAGTATAGACTTTGATAAACTGAAAGTCGCCTACAACCAATCGAACGAACCAGACATAAATCTGAAAGAATAAACAAATGAAACTGATGAATTGAGAGTCGCTGATCGAAGGAGAAAATTACCTCTTCTGATCATCGTGACGGCGGCAGACGAAAAAGGAAGGATGAAATCGGCAGGAAGAAGAGGTGTTGGAGCGGGAAGTGAACGCAAGCTTGCATTTCTTGCAAACCTTCTCGTGCTCTTCATTCACCATCTTCGCATCCTTTTCCATTCTCTAGAAACTCAACCGCTTCCTGGTGCTATTTTTTCTGATTCATCCCAATTTTCTGACTTGTATACAATTATACAACATAAGGAGTAGTAATTTATGATTTAAGTAACTCCTGTATAAATTTCCTTGTTCCTTGCACGAATCATATTTAAGTTATTAAATTAAAATTATTTTTAAATGGGAGAAAGACCAAAGTAAAAATAAAACATTGAAAATATACCGAAATAGGACTTTCATGTCTTTATTCCCGAGATAGAATTTACATTACCATACATTGTCATATATATTACCAAAAAAGTATAGTAATTTGCACATGTACACTGCCACATTACCATAATGCAAAGTCACATTACCACAGTGCAAAGTCCTATTCAGAGAAAAAAACATGAAAGTCCTATTTTGATACTTTTCTCTATGTTTTAGTCATATTTAAGATGATTTCTATTTTAAATGGTATAAATGGGTATATAATGAAATATAGAGATTTCATTATTTTAAAGTACAAAAGTTGATGTCTCTTGGGTGCAATTTCTTGAGCTGGATGTGAAGTAATGGAGCCTATCAGGGCTTAGCAAGCTAGGCAGCAATATTGGGAAGCCCATAAAGAGGGACAAAGCAACTGCAAAGCAATCCAAGTTCTCTTATGCCAGAATCCAGATTCAGGTCAGAGTTCAACAGGATTTTCTTAGAAAAGTGATGTTTATAAATGAAGAAGGGAGAGTCATATCTCAAAAAGTTGATTATGAATGGTACCCATGTATTTGTGACCATTGTAAGAAACTGGGACACCTCCAAGAGACATGCAGGAAAAAGGAGGTGAAAAAGCAAGGGGAAATCCCAAGAAGAATGGTTTGGAGACCAAAACAGAATAGCACAAAGGAGGAGGAGGAGAGTGTGAAAGTGGATGAAGAACTGAAGGATGACCAAAAGGATGTCCATGTAGAAGAAGTCAACCAAACAGAAACCAACACTGGTGAAGAGGAATTTAAAACTGTTAGTGGAAAGAAAGCTGCGAGGAGAATCATATTGGAGGATGAAGGAGACCTGCTGAGTAGTCTTCAAAAAGCATTAGAGAAAGCCCATTATGAAGGGCACTTTCCATTTCTTAAATGATTGGGAGTTGGAATGTGAGAGGACTTGACAGTCCCAACAAGCAGGAAGAAGTTATCTATTTCTTAAATAAAAATAAGACTAATATATTTAGGTTATTGGAAACAAAAATTAGAAGTTGTAACTTCAGTAATATTGAAAAGAAGATAGGTCAAGGTTGGAACTCTGTTATAAATAATTCAGTTCACCCCCTGGGAAAGATATGGGTTCTATGGAAACCTGATAAAGTGTGGGTTAATGTAGAAGGTATGTCAGACCAATGGATCCACTGTAAATGTAGAAGACTGGGAGATATGAAGGAATTTTATGTTACTTTTGTGTATGGCCATAATGAGGCTACCAGAAGAAGTAACTTGTGGAATGATCTTATGAGGATTGCAGCTTCTTGTAACAAGGCCTGGTGTGTTATAGGAGATTTTAATAGCATATTGAGAATGGGGGATAGAACTGGGGGAACCCAGTCTCCTTGGATGAAACTAAGGAGTTCAGACAATGCATTCAAAACTGTGGGCTGGAGGAAATCCCAAATGAAGGTGCTAAATACACTTCGTCTAATAGACAAGGCCCAGGAAGAAGGATCTTCTCTAAAATAGACTGGGCTTTTGCAAACATAGATTGGTTCAATAACTTTGAGGCTAAGGTCATCATTAAGGAAGAAGGATTATCAGATCATACCCCACTACTGGTTAAGGATTGCTCAACTAGGAGAGGGAACTTTCCATTTAAATTCTGTGGCATGTGGTGTCTTGATCCTTCTTTCTCCAAGATAGTTCAGAGTGTCTGGAATCAGAAAATGGAGGGGAGATATATGTTTCAATTATCACAAAAACTAAGGATGATGAAACCTTTACTGAGAAGCCTAAATAGAAGCAAATTCTCCCATATATATCAGCAATGTAATCTGCTGGGGGAGGAACTGTTTCAAATACAAGAGGCTTTGAAGGTGAACACAAATTGTGAGCAGCTTATCACAAAGGAGCTAGAACTGATAAGGGTTTTGACTTGGAAACTGAAGGCTGCCAGGCTTATGAAAATTCAACAAGTTAAGCAGGATTGGGTCCAGGAGGGTGACAAGGATTCAAAACTATTTCATGCATGGATTAAGAAAAGAAGGCTTAAAAATCATATCAGCTCTATTAAGTATTTAGAAGGGAACCTGGTTGAAGGAAATAATAATATTGCAACTGTCATGGTGGAGTACTTTCAGAAGCTGCTGGGCAAAACAGAATGGACAGCTCATATTCAAAAAGATATTGTTGAGGAAGGAAGGCAGCTATCTATTGAGCAGCAATTCCAATGCATAGCCCCTAGAACAGAGGAGGAAGTGAAAAGCTGTATATTTGAAATCCCTAATTGTAAAAGCCCAGGGCCTGATGGGTATAGTAGTGGGTTCTTCAAGAATCAATGGACAGTGGTGAGAGATCTGGTGACTAAAGCTGTCATGGATTTCTTCCAAAATTGCACCACACTCCAACAGATTAACCATACAAACATCAGTCTCATCCCTAAAGTGGATTGCCCTGAACATCCAAAGGATTTTAGACCCATTTCTTGTTGCAATGTGGTGTACAAAGCTATTTCTAAAATCATCTGTTGCAGGCTTAGGAAAGTGCTGCCCATATTATAAATGATAACCAGGGTGCATTTATTGAAGGCAGGGAATTGGTGCATAATGTGCTTCTCTGCCAGGAGTTAGCAAGAGGGTACAACAGGAAAGGTATCAGCCCAAGGTGCCTTATGAAATTAGACCTTAGAAAAGCCTATGATTCTGTAAGTTGGAAGAGCTTATTTCAGATTATGGAAGCCCTGTAGTTCCCTAATAAGTTTATAGATTGGGTTAAATTCTGTCTTACAAGTGTGGAATATTTAATACAACTTGATGGAGAGGTGTTTGGATTTTTCAAGGGAGGAAAGGGGATAAGATAAGGAGACCTCATGTCTCCTCTGTTGTTCACCCTTATTATGGAGTACCTCACCAGAACACTCAACTATCATTCAAAGAAGGGTACATTTAAATTTCATCCAAGGTGTAAGGCTCTACAAATAACTAATATTGTCTTTGCAGATGACCTCATAGTGGCATGCAGGGGAGATATCCAATCTGTTGATTGTGTACTAGAAGCCCTAGATCATTTTAAACAAGCTACAGGTTTGCAACTAAACTATGAGAAATCTCAGGTGTATGTTGGTGGGGTTACTGGGAAAGTGCTGGATACTGTCTTGAAGAAAACAAAAATGAGCAGAGGTTCATTTCCCTTTAGATATTTGGGAGCCCCAGTGTCTGATTCACGTATTATTGAAAAAGAATGTGATAAACTTGTTGAAAATATGACTATAAAAATAACTTCTTGGGCCACTAAACATCTGTCTTATGCTGGAAGAGTCAAACTGATTAATTTTGTTCTATATGGAATAGCTGATTTCTGGAGTAGAATTTTCCTGCTGCCTAACTCAGTCATGAGGAAAATAATGGCACTTTGTAGAAATTTTCTTTGGAGTTCTAGCCCAGTACACAAAAGAAGCCCTTTGATTAAATGGGATGATGTCTGTCTTCCTAAACAAGAAGGGGGTTTAGGGCTGAAAAATATGTTAATGTGGAACCAGGCCTGCACTATGAAACTCTTATGGGATATCTCTAATAAAAAAGATTCATTGTGGGTAAGATGGGTCCATAGTAAATATCTCAAGAAGGAATCAATCTGGGGGTACAATGTCAAAAGTGATGATTGTTATTATTGGAAGAAACTGATCAACAATAGGAAAATGTTTGAAGGGATGAATACATCCAATGGATATACAGTGTTGGATGGGTATGAATGGCTTAAAGGAGCCAAAGAGAGAGTGGCCTGGGCTGGAATGGTGTGGAGCAGATGGTCCTTGCCCAAGCACCAATTTATTGCTTGGCTCATTTGGAAAGGAATGATTCAAACTAAGGACAGGCTTAAAAAATTCCTCCTTATTGATATTACATGTGTGATGTGTGACAAAGAGGAGGAATCTGCAGATCATTTATTTTGCTCTTGTGCCTATGCCAATACAGTCCATGGGAGGGTATCAGGATGGCTTAAAGTGGACATACATGCTGACTCAATTGAGGATTTGTGCAGGAAGGTGGAGCTGGGAAGAAGTAGAACACAAAAGGGGATCCTGGCGGCAAGTATCAAAGCGTGTTGCTACTACATTTGGAAGGCTAGAAATGCAAATATTCACAGCGGGAAATGGGTTAATGAGGAGTATACTTTTAATTGTATTATAACAATAGTTGGCATGTGTATTGGTAGTAAAGGCACTGTAATGGTGTGCTAGATTTTTTTGGATTGCTGTTGTTGCTTGTGTTGCTAGATGTAGTAGTAGTGGGTGGTGTAGAACTTGTAATGATTTTGTGTGTTGTGAATAAAATGTGTGCTTTGTTTCAAAAAAAGTACAAAAGTTAGTTAAATGATTTGCAATTTCAAAAAAACTTCTTCATAAATTACATTACTTGTATAATTCTCCTCTTTGTTGTATATCAAAATCTTAAAGCTATTGCGATTTATTAGCTTTTAAACTGCAACATACAGTTTCCTATGACTAAATATTGGTTTCTGTAACAATAATTCAACATGTTTCAGATATTTCCGCTGACAATAATTTAATAATTTGACATATTTGGCAATAATTAAACATATTAATGTATTTATTTTGGAATTTGTTGTTTTTAAAATTTATTTTCGTATTTAAACGGTACCATTTACTTACCCTACGGTAATTATTTTCATGCTTTTATATGTGCCCAAGGTTGGATTTGTCCAATCTTCATAAGAAAAAAGTTGATATGGAAGATAAGTTAGAGAAGTTCGAGAAAGGTATTAAAACTTTAATTCTATATGCATTTTATTTCACATATTTTATTTTTATATATATATAAGAAATTTATTTGTTTTGATATTTGAAGGATGTGAATATAGAAGATGACTTGATCTTCATGAAACAAT